TATATATATATTCATTCTCAGCTTATCCAACTATTTATTGGGAACTAGCTATATACAAATCTATATATAAAATCAGAAATGTGAAAACTTATGATTTTTCTTCCAAATCCCATTTGGATACCTTAATTCGTCTCTGGATGGAACTAATGTCTGGGCGCTCATTGCTACTGCTGTCAAGGTGCCTGGAGACAAGAGGGAAACACAGTGAGAATCTCCAAGACTAACATGCCTTGCCCCTAAGTAATTCTTAAAGAGGTAGGTGGTTTTTAGAGAATTACATTGTAGAATTTGGAAACTTACTTATAGAGTTCAGCCAAGAAAATATCCAAGCTCTGAAGTTCTTCAAAAAGTGCTAATAAGAGTTTGGGAAGGAAAGGAAAATATATTACAAAAATCAAGCAAAAGTACTTGGCTTTTAACAGGTGCTAAAACTAAAAGACATTTCAGATGTGACCAAAAAGAACAGCCTGGGACCAACGTGCTTACAGATACAGGCAAGTGTCTAAATTAGCTACTTTTCCTTCAGGGAAGCCCACCGATTGCCTTTATGGTCTCTGCTAGCAGATGAACACTGTAATTCCCTCTTTACCTTTCCTCCTACTCAAAGAGCCACCAACTATGAAATGTTCCTTCCCAGCTATGTGCTCATTCTCAGTTTACATCAGTGAAGGAACTACTGATGGCCTCACTTAAAATTATTTATTTGTGTCTGTGTGGAGGTCAGAAGACAACCTGTGTGAGGCAGTTCTCTCCTTCCACCATGTCAATTCTGGAAATCGAACTGAGGTCAATTAAGCTCATCAAGCCCATCTCACTGGCCTTGGTAGTCCTACTTTTAGAAAAAGAACTAAGAATTAGGTGACCTGTCCAGAGTCATAAGTTCAGAAAACAGAGTCATATCAAATTAGGCTTCTAAAACTTTGCAAGTGGAAAGCCTGAAATATGCGCAATGTAACAGCCAAGGTCAGTACCTACTGCATACTTCATATGTGCTGTAGCCTTTCTCAACCTGAGTCCCCAAGAGAACTAAGCTCTAATACAGCTACTGTGTAGCACACATTTCCTTCGACCCTCTTTAGAATTGAAAAGTATTCAAATTATGTTCAGAAGAGAAGCCCTGTTGGAGAAGGGTTGTCACTTCTCTTTTCTTTATATCCATACTACCTCAGTTAAGACTTGTTACATTTGAGACAGGTAGGTACTGTTGTTATTCCCTTTTTCATATTTGAGAAAGTAAGGCCTAGGGGTGCAGGCAGATTTTAAGTAAAGGAGCCAGAATTCCCATCAAGGCAGGCCAAGTTTCTGGAATTGGTAACTTTTACCACAATGAGGGTGAGACTCCCTAGGACTGGATGGAGAATTTACATATAAACATCTTCATATAACCATCCAGTACCACAACTAAAATTGGGGTATATACTATATAATACACAATATGTGCGGCTCAATTCAAGAAAGTAATTTGTCCTCAGTCTTCATTTCTCAGAAGAGTAAATACCAGGAGGTGATTAGTATTCACAACCATTACTGCCCCAGAATCACAGATAGGGAGTGTTCAAGAGACTGGGACTACTAGCCATGGGGAAATATGGACATCAGACCACAGGGAAGAGCCAGGTCACAGGTCAGGTGATATTGTAATATAACTCAGAACAGGGACATTCTACACTTAACCTCCAAGGGATTCAAAAATTTGAAAAATACATGTTACGTATCTACAAAATCTAGAGTTGTATGAAATGGTTGAATACACTAATGGCAAGTGGATGTCCAAGATATCAGGGTCTATCTTTCGACTACATTTGGCACCTTATATACAAAGTAATTACTTATCAAAGAGGATCAATTCAAAGTCCTTCATTAAAGACATAAACTAGTTGTGGCAAAGATTTGTAAAGAAAGAGTAACAGTTCCTTACAGCTCTTGTCAGTCCAGACATGGAGCTCCTGTGCAAGTTCAGGAATCACCAAGAAAGTTCGCCACCCTTGCCGTTTCTTTGATTTCAAAATATCTCCAAAAATGTGATCTCCAATATACAAAATGTCTTTGCCTTTGGCTCCCAACAGATCACAGATTGTATCAGATGAACCTGAACATTTGGAGTGAATGATGAGAAAAATTTTTCTATATTAAAGATAGCATTCAAAGTGCCACAACTGAAAAAATAGATCTTTCTTAAAAAAAAAAAAAAAAAAGGTTCACTGTTCTTTTTAAGGCCTCAGAGAAGGCTTTTAGCACTACTGTCCTGAGCAGAGCTCTGATTACGAGTCTAAGAGCAACACTAATACATGTCTCAGTTTTAGTAAAGTTAACCAGCAAAAATACAGATGGGCTGGAGATACCGTTCAGTGACTGAGTATTTACCTAGCATGCACAAGGCCCTAGGTCAATCCTCATACCACCAAAAGCATCACAACTATTTTTCACTATAGATCTATCATTAAATTGGCTTTATACAACTATTCCTTTTTTTTTTTTTTTTTTTTTTTTTCCTTTTTAAAAAGGGTCTCCCTGTAGCCCCAGCTGGCCTGGAACTCACAGAGATCTGCCTGCCTCTGCCTCCCAAGTGCTGGGACTAAAGGCCCAGATATTCAACTATTTCTAACTCTTGACATAAAATGCATCCACATGAGCTGGAGAGATGGCTCAGCGGTTAAGAGCACTGGCTACTCTTGTAGAGGACCTGGGTTCAATTCCCATCACCCACATGGCAGCTAAAAATTGTAACTCCAGTTGATCTGATGCTCTCTTCTGACCTCCGAGGGCACTGAATGATACAGTGTATTTGCATGCATGCAGGCAATACACTCATACACATATAATTCTTTTAAAAAAAATAAGCTAAGAAAATTTTTTTAATCCTTTGAGAAACATAACCCAAATCATTCCAGAACACTGAGACAAACCCTCAAACAGGTAAAGAAGGATCCTTTCAGTGTAAATAAAACTCACTCTCCTTGATTCTTACTTAGCAGATGACTATTTACCTTCTATAGGTGACATTGCTAACCATGAAGAATGTTCATGGCACTATGCTGAGAGAACAAGGAACTGTCCACAGTAAGGTCTTCAGGAGCAGTCTAGGGAAGACAATACATACTGTGCAGACTTACCCAGAACAAAGGGAAGCCTGGGACTCACCTCCTGAGTAGACGATCCCATGCTGTAGGGGGCCTGTATAGGTACCAATTTTCAGTTTGCCAGTTTTCTGGATAAAGAGAATATAGATTTTTGTAATACTTTCATCATTTTACCACAGTCTTTATCCATACTGCTTACTTGACCAGACACTAATTCTTTTTAATTAGCAGTTTGTTGGACTACCCCAGTTAAGACCAAGACTCCTAATTTCAAAAGAGAGATTATGGTCATTAAAATTAAATATATTTGCTTTCTTAAGAGGGAAATGGGGAAAGGAGACACATGAAGGACAGCATGTTAGCATACATATCACCTTCTCAACTTACAGTATCCACCTGACGGAGTACTGTGCCCTCTCCAAAAAAGAGTGGTTTCCTTGCATCCACCAAAATCAGGTCAAAGTAGGACTGCCATGGTCGATGGGAGCTCCCAGGCTGGGAAAGGAGAACCAGCAAAACCAAACATGACCGTGGGCCTAATTCTTATTCTCACTCAAACACAAGGCGTTTTAAGATACTAAGCATAACCAAAAAAAGCCATCATTTTACAAAAATATTATGCCTAGTTATAAACCACATCTTTTGGAAGCAGACAGGAACAAATAATAAATGGCTTTGATAATCTCTACATTTTAAATTATTTTCTGAAATATAGTAATTTATTTTACAGAACTTTCCCTATATGCTGCTAATACTCTGAAATAGGAGAAAAGCAGCAAGGGAGGGATGCAAGTCCATATTCAAGGGGCAGATTCAGAGACAGGTCTGACAGGTATATAAAAACACCAAGCCCTGTATCAGGATGTGCCACTTGTTCTTTGAATGATGGCTCTATAGTTAAACAATGGCCTTTGGCTCATATTGCAAAGAAATCACAAAACTAATGTTGAAGTTAAGCCAAGTGAAATTATTTCCATCCTGAAATAGAACCACAGCATTAATCTCTTCAGGCCAAGCTGAAGGACAATGTACACTGTAACTTTGGGCAATTGGGTATTCACTAATGCTTATTCATGTAAGTCTATGATTATATTCTGTAAGTATGTGACTAAGCTGCAATGTTTGTCCCTTAAATAGAATACAGAGGCCGGGCATGGTGGCACACACCTTTAATCCCAGCACTCAGAGGCAGGCCAGCTGAGGCTACAGGGAGACACTGTCTCAAAAAGTCCAAAAAAAAAAAAAAAAATACAGAAAGACTTCTAAATATCAAGAGAAGAGTAACTGCTTTTTTGGCACAAAACTCACCAATAACTAATCTAGAAATTGTCAAGAATATTCACATCCAAATTCTGCTTCTGTTAAACCAATATTATTCTTAATCTGAAATTTGATTCACTGACGTGCAAACAACAGTTCTGCATAGAACTTGTTTTGATCCTAGCCAGTATAAACCACATAGATATCCTTTTTATTTCTATCTAGTAAATATTTATATTGCTAGAGGTTTTAAACTCTGCTAGTATTGGATTACTTCTTTTAATCAGGATTAAACAATGGGCCTTCCAACTAGGACTTTTCTAGGTGGGTCCTGACCAGTTCCTTCCCTTAAATATTCCATAATGATAAAATAAAATTCATTATTACTTAAGAAATGATCTATTAAGTTACTATAATACCTTGGGGCCATGTGGGAAATCAAACAGGTAAGTCATGATTTTCTGGAAAAAAAAGCAAGAAAGTCCACATATGACTTTTGCAAAGGAAATATTAACACCTAAAAAAAATGGTTAAGGTATGAATTAACTACATATACACTAACCACATTTTCAATATAGAATTAACCACATTTTTGTTTTCTCTATATTTTATGAAATCATGACAGTGAAAAGTAAAAATTAAAAAATTGGCTGGGTGTGGTGGCGCACGCCTTTAATCCCAGCACTTGGGAGGCAGAGGCAGGCAGATCTCTGTGAGTTCAAGGCCAGCCTGGTCTACATAGTAAGTTTAAGGCCAGCTGGGGCTACAGGGAGACCTTATCTCAAAAAAGACCCCCCCAAAAATTTAAAAATTAAGGTTTCATGAGACCAAAAAAAAAAAAAAAAAAAAAGCCTCTGTCTTGGGGATCCAGGCTTCTAGATATCTCTGTGGACTCCTTCATATGTCCAGTCCACTTCTGAAAGACACATGTGGCAATAAGGACACTGGGAACACTAATACTCACATGTAAATAAAATACCACCGTCTCAATAGAGAACTGATGGGGACAGAACTTCTTAATAGAACCATTAGTCTGTAACTGTCTCAGTGAAAGCGTTTAAATCTGCCCCTACCCCCAACCTTTAATCATAATTTTTAAAACAATTTAAAGAGGTAGTAAGTTTCAATGCCTAAGATTCAAAACACCTTTACACCACCTCTTACTACTGGGCTTCCAACAGCAGGGAGGTACAGAAAGTAAAGGGTGTGAGTTCTCAAATTTAGATAAATGAGGTTCTAAAAAGACAGAGAAGTCATTTAAATCAGCACAAGTGTTTTCAATAGCCCCCGAATTAAAACCTTTAAGTAGTCAGTGTAATAGTCAAAAAGTATTTTTTAAGTTACAATAATTCTAGCATGACCGTTATTTTATATACTTTTAATTTTTTTACTGTTTTCAAAGTAAGATTGCAAGAAATGACCCTCATTTAATAAATTCTGTCTTCTTCATCTTTACAGTTCTTCAGGTCACAATAATTTCTATATATAAACAAATATAAAAATTAAGCACTTACATCTGTATATTTATAGTCACTGTTGGTGGCAAGAAATACTTTCCCTACTTCTTTCATCCGGCTCAGAAGCAAAGGCAATTTTCCCTGAAATATAATATGATAATGAACAAAATACTTCAATGGTTGTATTGTATATTTATAGATTAGCATAGTCATATATTGGAATTCTGTCTAAATAAGAAGAGGGTAATAAACCTTTTCAGAAATAGTTGGTTTCAGAATTTTGCATTTAAAAGCCTGCATTATTTGGCTTTTAAAGTATTAAGATACACAGTATATATTATATACAACATCTTTATGTGTAAAATGAATACATGATCATTAATAATAGACCTTTACTTTCCTTCTTGAGGTCTGCCTCAAAAAAACCTTGTGGTTTCTAAAGTGTGTGATTTAGGTATGTTAGAGATCAGAAGTTGATTCTAAACTGCACCAACAAATATTCTACATGGGGTTTACTAGATATGTCTCCACTGTGGGTACTATGACTTCATGCACAATGAAATGATAGCTGCAGGTGCAACCTAGAAATATCCACACCCAATTGCAGATAAAACAAGAAAAGTCGAACTCTTGATGTGTCTGGAAATAAAAGCCTTTTCTTTCTCTCACAAGTAGGTTCCTTTACAAATTCTCCCGAGTCCTCCTATTCAGTGTCCTTTCTTGAAACCGTAAGGGGAATAGGGAGGAAGGACAAATCCCAAAACAAACTGCCACTGCATTTTAATTTTACTCTATAGTAAAGAAAGAAGCACCTCATCTTCAGATTGTGTACGTGTGTAAACTGTTTTTTAAACAGTGCTGGGGCTTGCACCCAAGTCTTGTACGTACTCAGCAAGTGCTTTTCTAGGCTATATAACCAGCCTGTAGATTTTTTTGAAACAATTTTAGACTTATAGAAAAGTTGTGAAACTATATTCATATGCACATGTACACATATATTCTTCCCATGAATTCCGTACAGTTTTCTTTAATATTAACACTATAACTTCAACATAATTGAAAATTAACATTAGTTGAATACTATGATCTATAGATATTTTTAAATTTCATCTGTTTACTAATTTTTAATGTATTTTAAAGCTAATAGATCATTTTTTGCTAATAGATTAAAGGCTGATAACAGTCAAATCCATGCACATTTTTGAGTGGATCAAGTGCAGTGCTCATGATCTGGGTGCGTCTCAGCTTACTATTTACTACCTAGATGACCTTCAGCAAGATATTTGATCATTCCTTTATTCTTCAGTGTCTACATCTATAAAAATACCAAGTCTCTCAGTTCCATGAAGATTATATATTGATGCCTTATATTGTAAGGCATCAATCATAGCATGGCAATGTAGACACAGTGATCCTCTAGCTGTTATGATTAGAGTTAAAAGGACAAACACTGAGTCTTCTTCTTTCCTCTCAACAAACAGGAAAAACTAGTAAAATCTATGCTCTGGTTGAAAAGTCTTTCTGATTATGCTACAACAAGTATCTTCTCATGTGTATTTCATTAGAAATAGGTTTATCATTCACTTCTTTACTAAGCAAAATAAGTTACCATGAAGATTTATTTCCCCTTTTAATACTCACATCTTTGACCACATACTTCTCAAGATTTTCAACTGTCTTTTCCTTAAGGGATCCCTAGAAGAAGAAGAAAACACTAAGAAAACAATAAAAACAGGATTTTTGTTGGCTTCTTCTTGTTACTTTTGACACGGGCTAGCCTTTGGACTCATGATCCTCCTGCCTCAGTCTCCCAAGTACTGAGATTACAGATCTAGGACACCATGCCTGGATCATAAATTAAGGGGTTGGCTTGTTTGAGACAAAGCCTCACTTTGGAGCCCAGGTTGGCTTTCAACTTGTGACCACCTTGCTTTGTCTCCCAGTCTCTGGGATTGCAGGTGTATGCCACCATAATTGACCTACAAATTGGTTTTTAACATATAAGTTTATTAGAAAACTCTCTTTTGGTTTTTTTTTGAGACAGGGTCTTCTGTACCCCAGCAGACCTAGAACTCACTATGTAGAACAGGCTGGCCTCAATCTCACAGAGATCCACCTGCCTCTGCCTCTGAGTGCTGGGATGAAAGGTGTGCACCACTACAACCAGTCATCCTACCCTCTTTCTTTTTCAATTTTTTTTTATTTATTTTTATGTGTATGAGTGTTATATGCATGCATGTAGGTGCACCCATGTTATACAATGCCTGTGGAGGTCAGAAGAGGGAGTCAGATCCCCTGGAACTAGAGATACAGGTGGCCATTAATCACCATATGGGTGCTAGGATTTGAACCTGGGTCTTCTGCAAGAGCAGTCAGTGCTCTTAACCACTGAGCCATCTCACCCCCCCCTTTCTTTTTAAACAGAAGAAAATTCTACTCTAGTTGGCCTTGCAAAGTTAGTATTTGACCATAAATTATGTGCCAGAGAGTAAACAGGTGATTAAACAGCTTTTAAGTACCTTGTAATGAACCCAGTCAACAGCATCTCTTACATCCTGGAACATGCTCCGGTAGGACATGAAGAGGTCCCCATCTTTAAATCCTGTTTCACAGCTACAGAAAGATGAAAAGAACATGACAGGGAATCCAAAACAGAGTAAATAAATGAATATCAAAACTGACCAAGGGACCCAAAGTTTCCATATCACATGGGTATATGCTGTGGTTAATTAGGAAAATTCTCCCTAATGAAAATCCATCTTTGATCATTACAAATGGCCAGAATATTGTAGCAAAATGTAATATAATTGTAAACAAACATAAGGTGACATATGTTGAAATTAAAAGGCCAAGGTTCCAAAATATTCAGTTCTGTATCATTTTTAGAAACAGGTTCTCACTAAACAAATATTTAAAACTTAAAATTGGTCATTTAGGTACTTTCCACCCTGACTTTCCTGGTATTGTCCCTAGGTACAAATGTACTGTTCACTTTCTATTTAATTAGTAACTCAGTTTTCCACCAAATTTGGTGTCTTGAAGTAAGCCCTCAAATAAGAAGTTAGCACACTCTAGCACATACAGTTACATTTTAAGCCATGGCTACACAACTCCCAACAACCCCCCAAAGGAAAGGATAACTGTGCAAGACTTAAGTAAAATTATGCTTTAGGGAAGATAAACATTTATTCCTTGCTGAAACCTTGCTGGGCCTGGGAATGAAACTAAATTACCATCCCTGAATGGCTCCTGGGTAGCTGCTGTGAAGTGAGTTGGGGGGTTTTAGTGTAATTCTGCTTGGACAGATAATCATCACACAAACCTCCCACTCAGTTGTCACAATTAGCACCTCTGCTGGCCGTCTTCATTCCCAGGAGAAGCCAATCAGAAGTGGTCCCTTCCAAACATGGCTGCAGCACACTGGCAAGGAGAGGGGCCGTGTGGGAGGTGAGAGCCTGCATGGAGCTGCTGGTGCTGTCCCATCTCTCAGGCTGGCAATGTGGCATCTCTCACTAGCACTAAATTCACTTTAGAAAAGCAGAAAAGACCTACAATGGCCAGTTCTCTAAAACCCTGCACATCAATTTTTAAAAATCAAATGGAAAAAGAAAACTGTAGTATAAACGTACCTGGTATATCTGGGACAATTAGTAAAAAAATCTACGAGGCAGGCCAACAGGTAGGTCTCTGAAAAAAGAACAGTTATTAATGAGCTGTAAGTGAAGAAATCCAAGCTGACTTGATTACCTCCCTTGAGTAAACACAATCACAGAAAGAGGGACAGCGTTAGTATATGCAAGCATAGAATGGGGTTACCTGGCAGATTGAACAGTGTGTTCAAGATGTAAAATCGTTCAGTATCATCTCGTTGGATAAATTTGTTTGGATACTGCTCTCTAGTTTCTGGTCTGAAAGAAAAATTTAAAAATTAATTGACATTCAAAAATAGCATGTTAACAGTGGAAAAATATTCATTATTCGAAAATTGTCTCAAATATTAAGTATAGGTACGAAGATTAACAAGTTTCAAATATTAAATATAGCTATGAAGATGAATAAGCTTGGGATGAACCTTTAAAGAGTGGCTGGAGAGATGGCTCAGTGGTTAAGAGCACAGACTACTCTTGCTAGAGGACCTGAGTTTGATTCCCAGCATCCACATGGCAGCTAACAACTGTCCAAAACTCCAGTTCCAGATCTGACACCCTCTTCTGACCTCTGTGGGCACTGTACAATACGGGTGCACTTACACACATGCAGGCAATATGCTCATACACATAAAATAATAAAATAATTTTTTAAAAAAGTTCTCTTTAAAGACAAAACAACTCAGGCTTCTCACTATGGTAGGAGAGTTAAGCCATACATGGATACAATTAGAATGTCCAAAAAAATCCCAACTACTACAAGAAAGCTGACAAGAGCTATATGAAAACCAAAGGGAAACTATTTCAGCTTGAAAGGTAGACAAAAAATAGGTATAGTGAGTTCCAGGCCAGCCAGGGCTACACAGCAAAGCCTGTCTCCAAACGACAAGAACAACCTAGGAAGGGTTCGTTCATGTGGGTGGTAGGATATGAGCCGAGCCTTATAGGCTAAGTGGACCAATTTCAGTAAAGAAAGAAGAACAGTGAAATAAAAAACAGACCATGCTACGCTCCATTCAGGAACAGGAGGGTGTCACTTAAGTGTTCAAGCAGAGGCTATCAAAACTAATATGTAGGCCTTAACATATATGACAGAATGCATGAAATCTGGTGGGGGAGGTCTATGAGTGGGTGTGGATTTAAATACGATTAATATTAATTGTATGGAATGCACAAAAATATACACTAAAAATATAAACAAAAAACCTAGTATGTAAAAATATTAAATTGGCATTTTAGGATAAACTGGAGGAATAACTAGATAAATTATAAAAATATCCCTTTCTAATGCATTTGTGTCTCGTCCCATTAGAAGCTCAGTCTATTTTTCCTGCCTTGAGCACAGAGAGGTGTGAACAACAGGTAAGGGATCCAAGCAGAGACTTGAAACCACTTCTGCATTGCTATTCATGTATGTGGTCAGTAAGCAGCTGATCTAGAATGGCCTCGATCACGTCTACCAGTTATCAGGCAGCTGCCCAAGCACCTCATTTTTTTCCAAGTACCTTTCATCCTTCAGCTGACTATCTCGTTCTCATTCACCTGTAAGTCTCAGGGTTCCAAGCACAGAAGAAGGCAAGCCACAATGCACAAATCTTTTCCAAGTCTCTGCTTGGATCTCATTAGCTGCCCAACTAACTTTCAAAAAAAAAAAAAAAAAACAAAATGGTGACAGAGTCTTGTTATGCAGTCCAGTCTGGCTTCAAATTTGTGATCACCCTGTCTCAGCCTCGAGTGCTAGAATTACAAGCATGAGCCACCATGTCCAATTAACTCAGAATTTTTAGTTTAATAAAATGAATTAGCCAGGCGTGGTGGTGCACACCTTTAATCCCAATAGGCAGAAGCAGGTGGATCTCTGTGATTAGTAAGCTAACCCGGTCTATATAGTGAGTTGCAAGCCAGCTGGGGCTACAGGGATATCCTGTCGGGGGCTGGTGGGGGAGAAGAGAAAATAGAAAAGAAATCTGGTCATTTTTTTTAAGCTGCTGTCTTGGAGTAACTTATTATATAGCAAAAGCTGATAAAGACAGGCATGGTGGCATAGCACTTGGGAGATGGAAGTAGGAGGATCAGGAGTTCAATGTCAGCTTCTACTATATAGGGCAAGTTCCAAGCAAACCGGGGTACAAAGTGAGACCAGTTGTATGGGAGAGAGGAAAGAGGGGAGAGAAGGAAAGGGGAGAAGAGAGAAAAGGGGAAGAAGGGAGGGGAGAGGAGAAAGAGAAGAGCTGACAGACAGAGTAATGAGAAAACAATGAACTGCATCAAATAAGAACAGTAGAGTCTATCCTAGTCCAGAGTCAAAGGAAAAGAAAAGAGAGAGGGAAAAAAAAATCCTTCCCCTACCCCACCCCTGAATGCTAGAGACCAAACCTAGAGTCTGGTACATGCAGGCAAGCATTCCACCTCTGAGCTCTATTCCCTAACTGAGCTACACCCCCAGCCCTGGTACTCTTTATTGAAGATTTTTTTCCCCTAGGCTGGGAATCTTCACAGCCAATCTATGCAAGTATACACATCTATATAAACAAAACCAAATGTAAACCTTAGAGTGAGTTGAATATATTCCTGCTTAGGTTTGCTAATTACAAACAGCATGAACTCCGGTTAGGCATATAAAATTATATTAGCTTCTTGGTTCAGTCACCTTTTAATCACCCTTATGAAACATTCTTATGAAACAAAGAATTTATTTATAATAAAAAATGACTTAGAATATCTCTTCTTTGGCATTCTAAGATTTTCTGTAACAAAAAATAATGCAGACAGGAATAGTTAATATTAAGCACATTGCCCTCACTCAAAAGATAGACAGCAATTTTTTAGCAGTTACAACCCAAGCTGACTTATAAATATGGTTAGCATTTCAATTCAAGGGAAAATAATACATCATGAAAGGAGGAAAAATAAACTTGGAGTTGGAAAGAAAGCAGTTATAATACGAATTACTTCTAACTCTCTGTGACTCACAAAATAATCTTTTTTCTGAAAAATGACACCCCAACTTAGCCAAGTGTGTCAGATGATGCCAGATGGAATGTGGATTTGTCTAGCCTTGTCCACCACTGCACTTTAATAACCATTCTTTTCTTTTCCCCTACTTTCAAAGTCTCTCCTTTCTAAGATTTTTTTTCTCCTTTTTATTCTAAGGACTGTATTGTACTAAATTTGAATGACTCCACATTGACTCACAAATAAACTTATTATTAAAAGTACTTCCAAAGAAGCTACTTTGAAACTTTATTAGGGGGAATGCAGCAGGATCTTGCTTGTTATTTTTGTGTTTGAAACAAGGCCTCATGTAGCCCAGGCTGCTCTGGAACTCACAGGCCAAGGATGACCTGAACTCCTAATCCTGATACTGGGATTACAGATGTGCACCACCATTCCTAGCTTAGGTCTATATATTTGAGTCAAATTTGGCTGTGAAACTAATTTATTCAACTGCTTCTCTTCACTTTTTTTTCTCTGTCTTTTCTATTAACAACAACAAAATCCCTTTCAGACATAAATAAAACCCTGGTTCATCTTCACTGGGACTCTGAATAATAGTGTCAATATCTGCATGTAAAAGAGCTACATGCCATTTTATTTTTAAAGCTGCTTCCTGACACAAAGCACCTTTTACACTAACAATAGAAGAGAGATGGATATAACCCTCCTTGGCCTGCTCAGATACATCAAGGTGAATATATACTTCACACTGTTCTCACAGTGTACACCTGAGACATTTCTGAGCTCACAGTAAAGCTTGCTGAATAGCACTGTACCAGATGCGTCAATTCTAAGAGGGACATAACCATGACTTCAGATTTAAAGGAAGCTCTGATGCAATTTCAGATAGTTTATACCTCTTGTTATAAAAAGTACTTCCCAGAAGCACTGTCTTTTTAATTATTACAGTGCAACTGTGAAGTTAACCACTTTATTGTCAACAATAAATTATAAAAATTACATGAAAGCCTAACATAAAAACAATTATGTTTCAAAAGTTGTAGTTATGACACAGTATCAAATTTTGACATTTTTAAAGAAAAACTTGGAATGGTTCATCAAAAAAATAAGTAGATGGATGCTTAATAACTGCTGTTTACTAGGGTAGAAACCCCAAATATAATAATAGTGGAATTATTACTATGAAAATATGTTATTTGTTTTAAATATGATTACCCTTACTCTCCTCCTCTTCCCCTCACTTCACCCTTTCTTCCTTCCTTTTGTGGTATTGTAGTTCAAACCCAGAGCCACCCACATTCTAAGCAAATGTTCTATAACTGAACTCCCCTCCCCTTCCCAATCATTTCTCATTTCTGAGATGGGTGCTGTTATGCTATCCAGGCTCTGGCAAGGAATTCTTAGACTCAAGGATCCTCCTACCTCAGCTTTCAGAGCAGCTGGTACTACCGGCAAGCACTATTGTGCCCAGCTCTACCTTGTATTCAGGGTATCTTGTATTTTTAACCCTGTGTTTTAAATCTGTATATAAAAGAGCTTGGGTTAGTAATAATACATGTAATTATACAAATGTCTGAAGCTATTCATTAGAAGATAAAAATGTATCACTATTTAAAAAAAATCTTAGTTGTAGGGCTGGAGAGATGGCTCACTGGTAAATAACACTAGCTGCTTTTGCAGAGGATCAGGGTTTAGGTTCCCAGCACCCACATGATGGCAAACAACTGCCCAAAACTCCAGTTCCAGGAGATCCAAAACTCTCTTCTGGCACTGCATACACGGTGCACTTACATACATGCAGGCAAAACACTCATACACATTAAAGTGTTTCATTTAAAAATTTAAAAAGGTGTTATCATCACATCCCCACTCTATGCCTGGCTTTAAAAAAATTTTTTTAGGGGTTGGAGAGATGGCTCAACAGTTAAGAGCACCAGCTGCTCTTGCAGAAGACCCAGGTTCAAATCCCAGCACCCACATGGCAGCTAACAACCATCTGTAACTCCAGTTCCAGAGGATCCGACACCTTCTTCTGTCCTCTGAGGTGTCACACTGCATGACACAAATGCACTTACATACATGCAAGAAATACATTCATACACATAAAATTTTATATATATATATGATATTTTGGAAAAAAAGGGCAGACCATTCGTGGGGAATGACATTTGAGGTTGCCTTCTGCATGCCACACACACCCCCCTCCACACACACACACACAATAGAAAGAGGTTAAAAGTGTTTTGTACTCACCCTCTTATGAAGTTAAATCCATGTGCACAAACCAAGAGGTTTCCATAGGCATCAACTTTCAAAAGATTTCCATACAGTGTGTCAAAGACAAGTCCTCTACAAGAAAATAAAGAAATCACTGATAGTGCAAATAATACATGCAACAATTTTATATGCTCAATCACCATAACCTGACTTCATTTAATTCAAGCTTTGTAGCAACTCAGGTATATTCCAAAACAATAAAATCTTATATGCTAAAGTGGGTGAAAATATTCTTAAAAAGAAATCAGGAGCTGGGGAGATGGCTCAGCAGTTAGGAGCACTGGTTGCTCTTGCAGAGGATGAAGGTTCAGTTCCCAGCACCCATATGCCATTTACAACTGTCTCTAACTCCACTTCCAGGGGATCCAACATCCTCTTCTGACCTCTGTGGGCACTGCACATATGGGTGTACTTACATGCATGAGGGCAAAATGCTCATACACATAAAAAGTAAAAATAAATAAATAAAACTTTTTAAACAAAAATAAAATCACAGGACTAAGGACATAGCTCAGTTATAGAGCACTTGCCTAGCATGTATGAAATCCCTGGGTTTGATTCCCAGCATACACAATTATGGAGACAGGGGAATGAATCTCAGAGCAACTACAAATATTTATTCCGGGTATGTACAGAGTCACAATTGGTTTATGTTAGAAATAAGGACTCAATCAAACTAGCTTAAAATACGTAAAATACTTCCTCTTACCAAAGCTGCTATCTTTCTAAATAATCGTTAAATTTCTTTGGATAACTGAGCTGTCCTATATTTCCCTCTATTACATGTTACAGAGACACATATATTATTTCAAACAAATACATACATACATTATACACACATTTTGTTTGTTTTTCCCTTCCCTCCCTCTCCCTCCCTTTCCCTCCTGTTTTCCTTTCCTATTCTCTTCCTTCTGTCTTCCTCTCTCTCCCTTGTTCCCTTTCTCAGTCGTCCCTTCCTCCATTCTGTCTGTGTTTGTTTATATAGGTGTAAACTTAGATACAGAAATATTGAGTGTCTATAAAAGATTTCTTTTTGAAAAATAGGTTTCAACTGTTAAAATACAGTCTGAAAAATCACTAGACCAAACAATTGTAAGTCCTTTTCCTCCCAGGCTTTGATTATTGTTAGGATTTCAAAATCCAGGAAAAATAGAAAAAAGAGATTGAAAATCTTTTGGAATATACAACAAATATCTATCAAATTGCAATTCTGCTAAGAGGCAAAGCTATGGGCAAAATGGAATCTTGTAGCCCTTCAGATATACAGGACTATGATTAATCGGTCAAATTCCATTTTGTTTTTTGCTAATGGTGTAGAAGTCTGCTCTCACCTAGGTACTGAATGTACTACATGATATTTGGGTAGAAAGACAAAATTTTAATAATCAAATTCTCTTGCATTTAGAGTATCATATACTATTGGAAATGCTGTGATACTTGAGCTAATTTCCCCTTTTTATATTTAGTCATTCATTAAATCAATACATTTTTATTGAATATGATATGTGTCAGCCACAATGTGTTGGGTCTACAGTATTTATCCCTATCCATAAGAGATTATGCTTTAGTGATAAAGATAGAAACTAAACAAATAATCACACAAACAAGTATATAATTGTAAACTCTTACAGGAGAGAGTGTAATAGAAATTAATGTACATTTGGAAGTGGGCCTTCTATAGGATAAAAAACAGTCTTTTCAGCAAGTAGATTTGAGGGAGCTACTGAACATGGATGCAGCCTGGTAGTTTTAGGAAGCAGTCTCCCTGAAGCTACTCAGGATTGCTTTTCTTTCATCGTGAACTTCATTATCCTTGTGAATCTTTCTCAGCCACCAGTTAATGACATAGCAAGGAGAGGAGCCCACAGATTACAGATTCACACCAAGCAGTTCACCTTCCACAGTCTAGCTGTTGACACAGATAGAGCACTTGACTGAGCTTAGTACCCGCCTTGCAGAACACACTCAATGACTTAAGGCAAATGGTGTCTACTCTCCATAGTCCAGTGTTCTCATATATTCTCAAAAACCAGAGTTCAGAGAGTCTTCTTCATTTACACACACACATTTTAAGATGGGGTCTCCCTATGTAGCCTTGGCTGACTTAGAACTCACTATGTAGGCCTGCCTCTGTCTCTAGAGTTGTGGGATTAAAGGCACCTGCTACCAAGACCAGCTAAGTATCTTTCTTAATTGTCAATCTTCCCTATCAAAGCTAAAAAAGGTTCTGACTACCAGATTAAATGCATTAGAAAGACATGTAACTAACTGCCTTTCAAAAGTCAAAGGTAGGCTAGAGAGTTAACCACCTATGATTATGCCTGCAGGCTCAATGATTCCTTCTCTAACCATCAGTGGGTCTTCCTGAATATTTATAAACTTAGCTCTGTTTAAGAACACAAAAAAGGGTTAAGAGGTATGACTCAGGGGTTAACAGCATTAGCTGCTCTTCCAGAGGACCCTGATTTGGTTCCCAGCACCCATATGGTGGCTAACCCCTGTCTGTAACTCCAGTTCCATGGGATTCACACTTTCTTCTAGCCTCCTAGGGCACCAGGCACAAACACGATGCACTTAGAAATATCCAAGCAAAACACTCCTACACATAAAATTAAAATAAATAAAATCTTGAAATACAAAACCAAAAAACATAAAAGAGCTGGGCATGGTGGCTCATGCCTATAATTCTAGCACTTGGGAGTCTGAGGAGGAAAGCAAGTTTAAGGCCAGCCTGGGCTACATAGACTGTCAAGAGGGAGGAAGAGGAAAAGTGAGTAAGAGGGAAAAGAGAAGAGAAAAAGAGGGGAAAGAGAGGAAGAAAAGAAGAGAGGGCTGAGAGAAAGAAAGAATACAAAAGATACAGTGGTGCAGTGATTTAGGAGGACTGCATGGATCCTGGACTATGGACATACAAGAAAAGTTCTGGTAACTTTAAAATCGATACCAAGAAATGATTATTCAATGTATTTTTGCATGGCCTGGTATAAATTTGGAATTTTTAATTTTGCAGCCGGGAATGTGGTCTTATTACAAAAGTATCTTGAAGCCAGGCATGGTGGCACACACCTTTAATCCCAGCACTTGGGAGGCAGAGGCAGGCGGATCTCTGTGAGTTCAAGGCCAGCCTGGTCTACATAGTGAGTTCCAGGACAGCTGGGGCTACAGGGAGACCCTGTCTCAAAAAGACCAAAAAAAAAAAAAATCTTGAAAACTTACCTGGTAGGGAATGTAGAATCGTAAGCAAAGCTGAGCAGCTCCTGAGGATAGCCAATAGAAACTAATCTCTCCACAGTAAGCTCAAAGCCAAGGGATTCATATTCTGGAGACTTGTACACTGCACAAAGAGGAGGTTCTCATTAGTCAGCATAAAAAGGCAGATGAATGAATTTTTATTCTTCCTAACTCCTCCTTCCTTGACAGTACGTCTTTTTTTTCTTTTTCTTTTCCCTCAAATTTTGTGTCCTGTATTATACCCAGCCAGTAATTAGGAAAATTCAACTGTTAGACTGTGGAAATAGGTTATGTCAGGAACAGCAGGCACAAGAACTTTTAAACATTTCAGAATAGTTCTTAGCCTACTGTAAACGTTTTCCCTGTATCTACTCTTACATTCCCAACAACCTAAATGCAGAAAAAGTCCAATATGCACAGCTGTGATATAACTGAGACTATGAAACAACAGCAAACTAGGTAAGAGAGGTTGTTGAAAGCTTTACTACAGCTGACACAGCAATCTTCAAAGTGAGCTTTCTTGTTTGGTAGCTGCTTTGTCCTCTTCCAATCAGGGTATCTGTTCTACCTGTCAGATTACTTTTCTTTTTTTGTCTTTCTGAAACAGGGTCTTCCTGTAGCCCCAGCTGACCTGTAACTTACTATGTAGACCAGACTGGCCTCAAACTCAGAGATCCGCCTGCTTCTGCCTCCCAAGTGCTGGGATTAAAGGCATGCGCCACCATGCCCAGCTCTCTCTACTATTTTATGTATCTAAAACTTTCCATGATGAAAAAAAGGTTTTAGTGTTACCACTGCAGTTCAGCAATAAAGAAAATGTACTCCTTTAAATATGCTTCTTCCAGATGAAATATTTACATTAGCAACATTCCTCAGTCTCTAGGTGTAGGTAATTCATATTAAAAATGACAATAAAGGGGCTGGAGAGATGACTCAGCCATGAAGAGTGCTAGCTGCTCTTGTAGACCTGGGTTCAGTTCCCAGTACCCAAATGGTGGCTAACAACCATCTGTAACTCCAAGTTCCAGGGGATTTTGATGCCCTCTTTTGGTCTCTGTGGGCTCTGCACAACATGAAGGCACCTATATACATATAGGCAAAACATACACAAAATATAAATTAATCAAAAGATGAATAAAATTCAAAGACCTGCTAGTTTCCTAAATGCATTGCAAGACAGTCATCCAATTCTTAGTCTCATAAAAATGCAAGTATTGTTATTATAACTCTTCCCATCTACTACTAACATCTTTAGTCCATGATTCACTGAATTTTGCTATCAGTTTGCCCACTCAAGTGCTAATACCTTAGTGAGTAAAATTTACTTTTGCTTTCCCAAAAGCTTTTAGACTATCTTTGGAAATAAGAAACTAATACTAGTTGCTTCCAAAGACAGGAACTGAAGTTACAGGAAAGGGAGGAAATATTCAGGTACCTTTCATAACTTCAAAACTCATAATGTTGTATTTATCATCATGATGTATTTATTTTTAAAAGTCAAATTTAAAAAACAAATTTAAGGCTGGACCTTCAAAATCCTTTAATAAACACCACCTGACTTTTAAAAGGGGCTACATTTTTAAGTTCTTTAGGAGATACCTAAGTTTCGGCTCATGAGAACAATGCCAAGATATCCTTGCTTTTGTTATTGCCCTGAAGGCAATAGTAACTGAATATTAATGCTAACTCTGGACAGTATTTTCAAAAGTAGCTATATTCTTTCCTTCCCAGAACTCCTACTTTATTCTCCCCTACACCCCTTCAAAACAAAAACAAACCCTTGAAGCTGCTAATATATAATTCCTTATCTGTATGATGCAGAAAGAAAGAAAGAAAGAAAGAAAGAAAGAAAGAAAGAAAGAAAGAAAGAAAGAAAGAAAGAAAGAAAGAAAGAAAGAAAGAACTCTATGTCCATACCCATCAGCAGAGTACAACTGGGCACTCGCTGATGGAAGTCTGATGATTTAGGCTGAAAATGTAAACTAGTAACCCTCATCTTACCTTCCTCAGCCATGGAGTCACTCCAATTCCACATAAATCCCATTCTGAAAAAATTTCCATAAACCCAAACTACTTCTCCATGCTAACCAAAGTCCCACTTTATTCAAACAATACTTAAGGAAATAAAATTCCAGTATAGCTTACATTTTTTTTCTTATACGCTCTGGCCCATGTAAAATACTTTTCAATTATTAATATTTCAGAAGGATAATTTGTTGATATGTCTTCAAACCAGAGACAAAAATTAATCTTAACCCACCACTCTCAAACTCATCCTTAGGTCAGAGGTTTTTCCATAGTTAGTAAATCAGGTACAGTGACAGATTAATCGGTCATTGAAAATAATGTTTATGGGATAATTTAAATTGAAGGTGAAATAAATTTATTTAATATTTTTAGTGAAAAAATTACAGGGAATCTCAAATTTCCATTTTATCAGCACAAATTCTAAAATAACAAAAAATAAAACACTGTCTTTAGAGGGAAGAACTTCTTAAGTATTCAACTAAGGTGATTTTCTATAAATCCTACCTTAGAAACATTTAAAACTTCCTTCTTCTCAATGAGTTCAGGGTACTTCTCCAAATACAGGGTATTTTCCCCATTTGCTGACCTGAAGTTGAATACTGTAAAGCTCAGCTGAAGCTGGAATTCAGGTGTCCCTGCATCTGATCCAAAATTCTTTGTGTTGGAGTATGTAACTATCATGAATTTCTAGATTATACATACAGGCCATTAAAACTTAAGCGTGGATGCTAAAACACACTAAACTCCTTCTAATTTACTTCAACTAGGCCAAAATAAACTGTCTTAGTCTCCAGAGGGACTGGATTTACCACAGGGAGTCCAAGTTCCTTTACTGACAACACTATCATTTCATTAAGCTCTATATTAATCAGCAAGACCTACAAGCTATTGACATTTTCTCATCAGCTTCTCAGATAATGATTTCAGGAACACATACTCCCAGGTCATTAAATCATCTGGCTAGAGTCACACAAAATGCAGCCACAGCTGAAGAAGCAGAATTTTAGCTGCACAAAGCAGGAACATAGATGCTTTTTTCTAAGTGTCCCTTAGGAATAAACACATTTGTTCTGACCTGATTGCAAAAATTCCTAAAGCTTGGAAAGTACCACTTTTCTTTTAAAATAAAGATGTAAGAACAAAATTCCTTTTTCCATCAACCAAACCCTTTAAATCCAGCAGACATCTGTAGGGAAGCATATTTATCACCTTGGGCTGCAGAGCTCTGTGCCCCTCCACAGCTGCAAAGGCTCTTACTTCAGTTTCTCTCACAAAGCAAGTGAAAGATGCAAAGCTTCAAGCCCAACTCTTAAAACTGATTTTATATGGCTCCAAAACTTAGCCAATAGTTTCAGAGTATGTAAAATCTCACATTAACTGCTTACTTATTCTCTAAGAAGATCCTGTGGCCTAACCCAACCTGCCCAATATCCAAAGACAAAGGAAGAAATTGTTTGACGAGCCAGAGTCCAAAGGGGAAGGAAAAAAAAAATACTAAACCTCTGCTTCAGCCACTAGGACAGCACACAGTGTTCTCAGGTTACGTAACTAGACTATAAAGAGAACAACCAAAGCTTTGAAAGTTGAAGCTACTAAGAGCATTTAAAGATATTCTTTACTCAATAATCTGCAAGGGGAAAAAACAGCTCTTCAAAAATAACTATACATTGTGGGGGTGAAAGTTGTGTGCTTTGCAAATCTTTCATCCAAGATAGCTTATGTTAGAGGAGAAAGTTCCTTTGGAATGATCAGACTTTCTGCAGGAAGTTTGGGAAGTTTAGAATGCTCATACTTTTTTTTAACCTTTGTCACCAAAACACACTATGTAGTATCGTATAGATTTTAGAAAAATAAAGGGTGAACCTCTACAGAGGTTCCAGCCTAGCAGAGTACTGCTGCCAAAAAGAGAACTCACATGAGGCAGATGCAGATGCAGTGTGTGTCACTCCAGTCTTGAAGGAGTTACACTGGCTCTCCTGTTAAAAAAACAAAAAACAAAAAACAAAAAAAAACAAAGCAAGAAAAACAAAACAAAAACAAAAACAAAAGTTGGTTTTAAAACTGTTGTGATGGGCTGGAACAGAAAGACACCATTTGGAAATTGATATTTACAGGAGTTACCACTGCCCTCCAATTCAGAAGCCTCTGACCATCACTAAAATTAGCCCTAATTGGCTGTAGCAAAATAAGGGTATAGAAAATAAGCTTAAGTATTGTGTATTATTTCTTTTTCTGGCACCCAGAGTTAGGAATACAATCCAGGTCTGATCATGAAATTTTAAGCCAAAAGAGAAACAGAAAAGTAAATCCTATTTGTCTTTTATTTTTCTTTAGCACATTTCAGTTTACTACAATAGAAATTGAATGCAGATAGTAAAAGGTACTCAAAACTGAACTACCCAACTAGTAAAAGATTAAAGGAAACAACCTGAGCAGCTGCATTTGCTCTCAGTATCCACTTACACTGAATCTACCTATACCACTTTCTCTACTTTCAACAAGTAAGCAAGGAAGCAAGAATGGTTCTTTTAAAATACAAGGAAAAACTACATAACTCAAAATTTTCCTGAGAATCAGTATACTTAGCACATGTGCTGGATAGCTTTAGTGTCAACTTGACATACCTTGGTTGAGGGAGCCTCAATTGGACTGGCCTGTGGCCATGTTTGTGGGGCATTTTCTTGATTGTTGAGTGATATGGGAGGGCCCAGCCCACTGTGGGTAGTGCCATCCCTGGGCAGGTGGGCCTGTGTTGCATAAGAGAGCAAGCTGAGCAGGGGCCAGGGGAGCAAGCCAGTAGGCAGCATTCCTCCATGGCCTATGCTCTAGCTCCTGTATCCAGGTTTCTGCCCTGAGTTCCTACCTTGGGCTCCTGGATGAACTGTGACCTGGGATATGTAAGCTAAAGAAACCCTTTCCGCCAAGTTGGTCAGAGTATTTTGTCACAGCAATGAAAAACAAACTAGGACAGCAGGACCTTGTATTTTCAGTACTGTTTTCAATTTAAGACTGAAAAAACTTGAAAGTTTCTGAGATACTTTTTAAAATTCTATTTAAGCAAAGTAGCTGCTTGTA